TCTTTTTATTTAATAGAGCATATGTTTGTTTTTCTAAAATTTTAATATTACATATTTTCTTAGTGTGCCAAACGTATTGGAAACGAAAATTTCATGTGCATGTAAAATTTTACATTATATTTTTATTGTTTTAATATATTTTTACTACATATATATACATATATGCTCGGATTTTCATGCATATATATACATAATATATACATACACAAAATACAAATTTATATATACATATATATATTACACATATATACATAGGTGTATACACAAGATATATGTATAAACACACACATATATATATATATATATTCTATACACATATATACATAAGAAAAAATGGTTCAAAATATTTAAAAATGTTGTTGTTATTTATAATAAAAATTTAAGTTTTTAATTTCTATTAAATCACCATTGTAACCATTATAAATTAATCATTTTTTAATCACAACCATTGACAATCATTTTTAACAATACTTTAATCAAATGTCAACAAACGCATTGAAACTGTAGAATAGTTATAACAATTAATCTGGCAATATTAGATTTTAATATTTTTTTTGGTATTTTATTATATATTATTTTAATTATCTATAACCTAGGTCCTAAAGTATTTGAAAAAATGGAAAATATATTCTTATGTATGATGAATCTGTTCACAGTGAAGAGTTTTGTGGCTGTCGATACAGTCTCGGACACACTTGTATAGTTGTCGGACTCGTCCTTTGCTACCACAAGACTCGCCTTGGCCGAGGTTATCGGATTTTGAATGATCTTCCAATCCGAATTCGACATCCACGATGGGAACTTTTCGTCAGTGGACGTGAGAAGATGATTGGTTTGGATTTGTGATATAAGCATGCAAATGAGTAATAGATGAAAAATGAACTTGGGAACCATTTGCTTTGGTTGGTTTAGAGATTGATGGCGTGTGATAAATTTGATTTATAAATCGTATTATATAGAGATGTATATGTGAACACATAATTATATACAATATGAACACATATATTTGGAGATTGATCTCTAAATATGCAAATAAAAAATTACGTACTAAATTGAAATATTTTCAGTATTAAATTTGTTTTATGACTTCTCTTTTATATTATACGAACACTGAATTAATTTTTTTATATGTGGTTTTTATTGAATAATAAATATACAAATTAAAAGATGTTTAAAAACATAGTGTAGATCCCACAAGAGTTACAATAAAAAAAAGTTGCATTTGAATTAAATTGTGATATTAATCAGTTAAAATAATATATTAATAAATAATAAACGCATCAAACCTGTACAAATAATATTATATAGAGAGATATATGTATATGTAAAAGAAAAATCTCGTAATTTTAAAATAAATATAATCTTCTTCTTTTCTGTTGGTTCAACCAACTTTTCAAATGATGTATTCATCATTATTGTGATTTCTAGACTTGACTATGATAGGTTTGCCTCTTTATCATATAATTGGACCATACTCCTTGATGTATTAGGCTTATGTGTGGAAGTATCAAACACAAGTTATTTTATTTTATTTTTATATATCGTATATTAGGTGTTACATTCTCTTTCATGTTGATTTTGCTAAAGCAGTGGACTATTTTTTTTATATAAAAAGCAATGGACTATTGTTTGGAGATTCGAACAACTTGTTTAAAATATGCGTAATTTTAGGTGTAATTTGTTGGATTTGTATTAAAAGACAGTGGACACAAAAATAAAATAAAAAATTAAAGTAATCCTTTATAACTAAACATGAAAATTTGTCATAGTAATTCCATGATTAAGCCAAACCACTATTTCCTCAATAATTAGAGAAGTACACTTGTAGGTTTGCCCTACGTCTCACAAATTAAATTACTCTAACGAAAAATATTATTTTTGGTAAGACGTTAGAAATTACATCATTACAGGATAATGTCAGGAACAGTGTACAATATAACTATCTTTCTTTTTTGGATTATTTTATTTTTCCTTTATATCTTTTTTTTCAGATTTCTCTTATCAATGTTTTTAAATACCTCAGTAAAATTCCATAGAATTGTACCGCACATAATGATGCCCACCTCATATTATTAATGCTTATACATCAGCAGCAATATAACTTATTCAGATGAACAAATAAATAAAATCGCAAAAAAAAAATATCATAAATTGTTTCTACTAAAATCCACTTATTAAAAAATGAATACATATTTAAATGTTATGAAAAAAAACTTAGGATATAGATATTATTAGGATTTCTCTATTTTCCCGTACTCAACCCGGAACGCAACCTGGTTAGAACCTAGTCGGCGATGGTCCAGGTCATATCGTTCTCAAATATCCAGTGGCAGACTTCAATCTGACCTGGTCGCGACCCGAGCGCCACGAACGCTCCGTGACTCGGACCCCAAGCTGATGTGTCAATGTGACAGATGGCGATGCCATGGTTGATCTTGGCTTCAGTTTCCGGGTCAAGAAGATCCGATTCATAGATCCGGACTTTGGGCACAGAGTGGCAGTAATACAATAGGTACGGGTATAGACTCTGATGGCACGACACCGATTTCGTCACTTCTCCGCCATTGATCCCTCTAACTTTTCCAATCATCACCTTCTTCTTTGACCCGCCCACGCTCTCCGTCGTCCGTACGACGACGTTTCGGCCAAGCACCAACGTGGCGAAGTCGATCATGTCCTCTGCCGCTCCCACGCACCGCTTCGTCTCCCCGGCGCTCGGAGGCCTCTCGCATTCTCTGAGCGCATCGGAGATTATCCCCTCCATGGTCGAGTTCTCGCTGACGTGAAAGATACGTTTAATGTCGGCGATTTTCGAGGTCGAGAATGGTAGTTTCGAGATTATGCTCCGAGGCAGAAACGACCTTTTGGGCATTTTATCCTTGATGTCGGGCATCGGAATCAAGGTCCCTTCCCGGAGCGCCGTCTCTCGGAAGAACTTTCCCGGCTCTACCCACCTATTTACGGATTTACCATCAGAGATGGATATTGTCTGGTTGTATTTCACGAATCCGACGCCATGTGTGGCATAATCCTTGAAAGTGGTGTTGAAGCCGTAAGTTGTGAAACCGATCTCGTGTTCCGCTGCTCCTTTGCCGTATCCTGTGAAAGAATCTGACCCGGGATTGAAGGTTTGTCCGTAATTTAGGAAATCGGTCTTCTCACCATTTGAGTTCTTCACGTACGACGAAAACGAGTCATCGCCGTCGTTCGCTGTGTCTCTGTAGTTCGAGAACGTGTCGGTGATGGCGTTCCCGTCGGCGCCGTAGTTTCTGAAGTTGTTCTCCGGCACATTACCATCGGTTCCGTAACTGGTGAATGTTTCGCTGGCTGCGTTTCCACGTTCGCCGTAGTTCGAGAAATCTGACCCGACAATGTTGGACGAAACGGCGTAGGAAGAGAACTCGTTCGCGGCCCCGTTCCCGAGCTTACCGTAGCTGGTGAAGGATTGACCAGATCCTGAATTGGCCTCGTGGGAATAAGACTTCAAGGTCTGAGACCGGATGCTGCTGTCTGAGTACGAGGTGAAACGGCTTGTCGGATTGTTGACATTAGACTGGTAGTTGCTGAAATCGCCACTGCCTCCTGTGGCAGAGCTGCCGTAGGAGTTGAAATTTTCCTCCACGACGTTGCTTGAAGTCGCGTAATTGGCGAACTCGTCGTTGTGCCCCGCCGTGTCGCGGCTGTAACGCCGGAACGAGTCGGCGACGACGTTGCCGTCGTGCGAGTAGTTCTTGAACGAGTCGACCCCACCGGCTTTGGACGTGCCGTAGTTGGTGAAGTTCTTCTGGTCGTAGACGGAGAAGCTCACGTCGTCAGTGTGCTTCTCCAGGCTCTGACCCAAATCCGGAAAGCAGAAGAGTTTCGCGGCAGAGCAGAACTCCGAGAACCGAGTCGGGAGCGAGTCCTCGGCGGCGAGCTTAGCGAAGCTCGCCGAGTCGACGGCGTTGAGCGGTGACGCCTCTTGGACAGAAGGAACTCCCATTTGGACGATTTGCTTCGAATCTCTTTGTTCCAGTAACGAACCAGAGACGCTTTCGGAGTGAATGGGCTTTCCTCCGGCGAGAAGCCACCGGCGAGATTGACCTGCATTGCACCAAAACGCATCAAATCAATTACCCAGTTTTAGAAACTCATAAATTCTTCAACTGAAATAGATCCAATTCACTGGTTCCCGGCAAATAGAATAACGGCATGAAATTTGCATAAGAAATAGTTCGGCATGAAGTTACATTGAGGAGACCCAAAAGGAATGGCACAAGAAGAAACAATTCTTTGAGCATTTTTGTTTGAGAGAGAAAATGATAGACGGAGCAAAAATGTGCCAGTATTTGTATCGTGGAGAGAAAGGAAAATTAACGGTTAGAAGTCTGAATCTTTTCAATTTTAATTAATTAATTAACTAATTAATTAATTAGTGCTAGTGTCATGGCCAAATGATTGGACAGATAGGCGATGATGAAGCAATCAGAGGAGAAGGTCAGCAGTCTAGTCGCATTATATAAGAGAAAGTGTGACTGTTACTTTTTTCAGACCGGACAGGATCTTTGGTTAGAGCCAGATTTAACAGTGTGTGTGATGATTGATTGGTAATAACATCATTGAAATTTTAAGACCATTATCACCACCCACTTTGACTTTTTCAACTCTTTTTTTTTTTAAAAAAAAAACGTTCTTCTCTTTTCTTTTCATTTTGCCAACTTTTCTTAACGTTTTACACTAACGGCTATGGCTCAAAAAGACTCTTTATCTTAAACTTGAATTTGGAAATTCTTTTAAAGTTAATGCAAAACTACAACAAATTCAAAAATTACGAAAACATTAAAGTCCTAATCTAATCCTGATTTATTTCGTAATTTAAAAAGGTTCTAGACACATGCACCCGAAATTTTGGACACCCGTTTCGAAATCTCAAAACTTTACATTACCCATTTGCTCAAAAAACATGTTAACGTCTGTTCGCGCTGTGGCGGTGAAAAGCAGTGAAGTTGTAATTTGTGATGTAACGAGTTTTCCGTCAATCAGACGGACAAAAGGATGATGAGAAATATCCAAAAAACAGAGACGATCACAAGTTATTTACGGCTTTTGTAAACAAAAGCATTCAAGACATAGAAGAAGAAGAAGAAGAAGAAGAAGAGAAACATGAAAAGAGATCAGGACAAGACAACGGGAGGGGATGTCTTGAAGTCGAGTTCCCATAGCTCGAAATTTCCGTGGACGAAGTCGTAGTGAGCTCCTCTAATGGCGAGACTCTTCTTCACCACCGCTTCTCTCACAAACGGATAAGACAGAAGATTCCCAAGCGACACATTCACCGCTTCCTGGTAATCCAAAAGGCGAAAGCTTTATAATTTAGACAGACAGACATAGATAGAGAAAGATGGTATATGGTCTTTTGTTAATACACCTTCTCGCACTCGGTGCATTGAAAGTCCAAGCTCTTGTCTTTCAGTTCTTGCTTGATCATGTTCTTGGCGGGTGCACATATCTTCACCCAGTTCTCTATGAAGTCCCTGCGGATCAATTATAATTAATGAACTTCACCACGTTAGATGGATCTAGCAATAACATGTGTCTAATAATACTGATCAATCTTAAAGAATAGCATGATTCTTGAATATATATATATATACACACACATACGTATTTGCGGGGGCAGCATCATCTTCTATGGACATGAGACCCTTTATACCGCCACAGCAGCTGTGACCTATCACCAGAATGTTCTCCACCTATGCATACAATATGTCCTTTATCATATATAGGACCAACCTCTGCCAATTTGTTACTAGTGGCAAAAAGGGTTTCTCTCTTTTGGGAGTTTAATAGCAAAGAGATCAGATGGACATCCCCTAGGGTTATGTCTTGCACCAAAGATTGAAATAATTCACATTCCTCAAATGGGTAATGAAAAAAAGGGGAATCACGATGAACCAACCACAAGAAGGATGATTTTTTTTTAATAAAAAAAAGGGTAATTAAGTAAATCCAAATTGAAGGTTATCATTATTGTTATATACACCTTAAGGTTTACAACAGCGTATTCGATGGCAGCACCCACTCCCGAGTGTCTTTTCTGCAACAAGCAAAGCCGTTAATCAAATATTAATCTCCCTACCAACACAAAGGATATTGCTTGATGGGAAGAAAAAGAGAGAGAGAACCTGGTCAAAAGGAGGAACCATGTTAGCAATGTTTCTGACGACAAAGGCTTCCCCTGGTTGGAAATCCAGTATGTGAGACGGACACACTCTTGAATCCGAACACGCGAACACCAGAAACTGCATATTCAACGCACCCTCACCGTATGCAATCAGATTTTATGTTTTTGCCTCTTTTAGTAAACGAATACATATATATATATATATGTATATATAATATCAAATGGAATGTGCGAAATCAAAAACCTTGGGGCTCTGACCCTTGGCGAGTGGATCGTACAAATCACGATTCTTCCTGTTAAAAAGAATCTCCGTCAAATTCAGTAATAAACTGACAAATAAATGAAGAATACTCATGATCCAAAACGCTTTTACTGCTCCCGCACATTACCAATCGGATCTCCTCTGTCCTTTTTTTTTTTGGGTCGGACAACTAATATAACTAACTAACCGTTTGGGTAACTTTTGCAAACACCATTATTTGCCCATTGGGATCACACACAGAGGAACTGGCCCTCTCACCTCCACAATAAGAGTGCTTTCGATTTTCTTCTGGTAAATCTAAAATAAATAAATAAATAAATAAAAACTAGTTTTAAGAATAAAGACATACAGAAATTTCTGAGTCTTGAAATGGATAAAGCCGGAGTGGATTCGCTCAACCGCGTCTGACTTTGACGAACCCTGTTCCTCCAGTTCTGCCGTCAACTTCTTGATTTTCCCGGCGGCGATGTCGCCGAGCCCTGATTTCTCCCTGCCGCCGATCGGACAAACCCAAAAAAAAAAAAAAGTCGACGAACCGTGAAATCAATGTGAGTGAATGTGTGTGTGTATATATGGGGCCCATTAATTATTAGTGTTGTGTGTGCACCTGAGTAGCTGGTTGAGTCCTGCAATGGCTTCTTCGTACAAGCTCGTGGCCATGTCGTCTCCTTTAACAAGTACAAAACCACAATCAAATTCAGCGATTTCTCCGACGAGATACGGAAAAATCAATACAAAAACTACGTATGCATCGAATACTTTGATAATGATCTTCATTCACGGCTTGATATTAGATTCAAACCCTGAAGGAAAGAGAGAATACAAATAGAGAAACGGCTCTGGTCTCTGCCATAAACAAGAACTGTGATCCAAATCCGAATCGACCGACATTAATTCATGAAAATGATGACCACGGTTCTTACAGACCTTGCTCGAAAGTGAGATCGCGGGAAAAAGTTTAAGAGTTCGGGGATTTCTTCTTCTTCTTGTAATGATTCTCTGTAGAATTAATAAACTAAAAGCTAATGGACTTCACGTTATAAAAGGGAATGCTCTCCGGTTTGGTATTTATAGCGCGAGCTCTGTAATACGTAATCTGCCCCCGAGTTTGCTTCTTTATAGGAAAAAAATGGACATTTTTTTTATGAAAGAGGATAATTTATTTTAAAAAAATGAGGTGATGAAATTAGGATTTGTGATTTACTATCTACATAATTAAAGAATTAGTTAGCCATATTTATATATAACTAATATTATTTTTTCAGGTGATTATATATATATATATATGCCTTTTCGATCTTGCCGGGTAATTATACCAATTTATGGTCGGATTAACTTTGAATTAACAACCATCTGTATATATTACTATATATTATATATTCGTAACAAATTAAGATGGTCAAATTACTAATTTGTATCTTTCTGTCGAAGTCGTCGGTTAATAATTGATGGAATTGTATGTGAAAAGGTATGTTGTTTATGTCCTTCCCCATTCTAAACCTGCCTCGGGCAATTAATCATCGATTTATTTAAATTTAAACATTCATAAGTAATTTAATCATTTCGTTAGCGGAATCATTCCACGTTCGTCTCCTCATGAAATTATATATTATGTTTTTTTTAAATTCGAAATATACCAAAGTAGCATATTCTCGAGACTTTGACCACCTCAAATTTTCGTGGAAAGGTCTCTGAATAAACTCGGATATATAATATCAAAATAGTATTTTTTTTAAGTATAATACCAGAATAGTTTAATGGTCGGATTATAAAATTCAAGGAAGGGTTTTTGTGAACACCAAGAATCAGATTAATTATTTGGTATAGACTGTTGACATTTGTGTTCGAGCCAATTATTTGTTTTTGTTGGCCTTCTAGTTATAAATGTTATTTATGGATCTTATAAATTCAATATATATATATATATATATATGCATTTGTAACTTAAGAAAAATTGCTTCCTATTTTGTACGATGACACTTCAATGTTCTATTATGACTACTTAAACAGGCAGTTATATTCTAAAAGATTACTGGCTTTGAATATTCAATCGCAAAGAATTAATCAAAAGGATTCCGTAGCCACTACGCATGGAAACAAATATATATAAATTATATATACCTTTTGGATGAAAGAGAAGGTCTCCTTATAGATGGATCACATTGTTAGCCCTGGCTCCTCGTCAGGCTGTACAGACGCAGGAGTAGGAAGGAATGGAGGGGACAACGAAGTATCGGGAAGTAAAATAAACCAAAAAAATAGATGAAAACAAAATTTTATTACAAAAAAAAAAAGAGATCTGGAACGTTCGAGCTTCAAACGATGTGGAGGTCTGTTATTTATTAATGAAAGTTATGGGCATTGTAAGAAGGTTAGCATGGTCCAAATTTTTGAGGTACAGGCCTATGGGCATGGATGGGCTCATGATATAAACTTTGGGCTTGAGAAATAAAATTGAAATTGTCCAACTAGGGCAAATCCTGAGTTATAGAGTGCATTTTTTTTAGTTTTCCAAGTCATGAATGCTGTCTGCTTGTATTGCGATCGGATCGAGTAAACCATACAACGCGCCACTACTACTGTCTTTGGTATGGTAAGTAATCTAATCTAATTCTATACACAGAACCAACTGGCATTTACCCAACCCGTCTATTTACTCTCTGTCCTATTCGGCCACACCATGTTCTCTTCCATCCTCCACAAAAGAGAGAGAGAGAGAGAATTTGTCAGCACCACGTCGCCTCCGTGAACTTCTCTGCCAAGGAAAAGAAGGTAGTTTTATGAAATAAGTCATGGGATAGAATGACAGTCAATAATTTTATATAAAGGGCAAAGATTGATTATATATATATATATATATATAAATACATATGTTGACAAAGGAAATGAGATAGGCTTAGGTTATTATGCATATCAGTGATGCTGTAAAGTGGGATTCACACACGTATACGCTGATGTGGAAGATGGGCAAGAAAAGTTCCTTTTGGGAGAAAAACAAAAGCATCAGGTTTGCGCCCTTGCTGAACAAGCAACCAACGTTTAGTTCAACACCCTGTCCGTGCCATTGACGCGGAAAAGGTACTTTTCCTCACTTCCCTATTCTTCGAATAAAACTTATCATGAAAAAACGGAAACTTTCTAAAATAGACTTACCATAGCAAGAAAAAAAAATGACCCTTCACGTCATCACCCTGTCCGTGCCCCTGTAATTCTTGATTATGTGAACAAGAAGATCGTCCCCTGCCACTTCTCTCATCTTCTGAACCAGCTTGTCTCTCCTCAACTTCCGTTTCTGCAAAGCAATCTAATTAGTTCGACACACGACACGGGAAGAAAGTGGTCGGATCGATCCACAGATAACAAGAGACATTGAGACAATAAGAAATTTGAGATCTCGAAATGCATACCCTGAAATCATCATAGGTTTCCAGTATCAAGTTCATTCTTGGGGGATCCAATGACTTAGAGAGCAAGGATATGAGGGCAGGAAAGCTAACCCATGTCGTGCTAGGTCGGGGCAAAATACCATCTCTACTGATACCTGAAAGAACACCAACGTGCATATCAGTTAGTTCAATATGAAGGCATAGCATGAATTCGTAAAGCGATATTGCAAATGGGCATTGAAGAAGTTGCATACCTCCCAGACGTGGAGACCTGAAACTGACAACGTAACTGGGGAGGATATGGGAATTCATGGAACAACTCCATACTATGTACCTTTGCGGATTTTGAAGATTATCCACACCAGAATCGAATTCTGAAGAACTCGGGTACATTTGTCTAGAGCCGGAGATCAGTGGCTCTGATTTTCCTAGGATTATACGGCACAAGAGAAGATGCCTCAGCCCCTCTTCATCAGGCTCGGTACCTAATGCCCTGTGGGAATTTCAGAGTTACATCAAGATACATTCCATTTGGTTTCCTCAAAGACCTTCTAGAGAAAGTTAATTCAAGGAGCAGAGGTGAATAGCGAAACCGAATCTAATTCAAATTCAAACGCCGAAAAAACAATACAGGAGCGTAGGAGGATCGAATTCTCTCCCATCTCTGTATTCGGATCTTTACATGTTGACAAGGAAAATGTAGGATAGATAACTTCGTGAGCAAGAATTTAGTTTCTGGGAAGCCAAACATATTTCCCTCCTAACCCAAGTTTGCATCCATCAGAAGTTTCGTCGAACATGATCAGATCGCGCTTGCTTTCCCGCATTTTTCACGGAGATTAAACATACCAATTGATCGAACTAAGCATACCTAACAGAATAATACAAATGCACAAATTAAACTTACGCAGCCAAAGAGAGTTTAGAAGGAACCAGATGAATCCCAACCCCATGAGACGCAGCGTCATTGGCGAATTTCTCGATCTCGCGACCACTGAAGCCGAGCGAAATGATCCTTCGAATCTCCTCCTTGGAGCCCGCAAACCAGCCGTACTTCATGTTGGGGACGCCGCCGTTCTTCCTCGCAACCGCCGCCGTAAAAATCCTAAACACCATAAACTTCGCCTTCGTCAAGACGCTCTCCGTCGAGTTCTTGAGCACTGAAAGGGTTGTCGTGTCGCTGGCCACTGGACCAAGGCCGGAGAGGAAAGAAGCGGTAATGAGATTGAATTCGGGATTCCCCTCACCGATGGGTATCAGTCCGTCGCCGGCAAGATTCCGGACCGGAGGAAACCCAGAATCAGCGTCGTCGGAGATGGAATCGAGGATTTCTCCGGAACCAACGCTGGTGAATGAAGCTTGATCCTCGATCTCGGTCTGCATCGCCATGGGAAAAGGATCGAGAAATGCGAGAAAACAGAAGAAAAACAGTTCTTTGGATGGTGCTGTTCCCCCTATCCTTTGGCGGTTTAGGGCTTATTATAAAACGGTTTAGGCGGTGCGGTTACGACGTTCTCTTCTCATTCCTCCCCCTCGTCGATTGAAATTACAAAAATGCCCCCGACCCGAAGTGGAAAAAATAAACATCCCCGAAGGAATGTATTTTTGCTTCGCGGGCAAGTCATACGTAACATGGACCCTTTTTGGTCAACATTGCTCAAATGCGTGTAGCGAGAATCTTCTAGCTCTTCATTTATACATTATTAACAATAATAATGAAAGATTTATGAATAAATTATCTAATTTTACTTTATTCGTTTGCTATTATTATTCATATTCATATTCATATTATTTAAAGTTATAACTCTATTTATTTTTTAAAAATTTCGTATCTAAAATCTTTTTTCTATATTTGTTTAATATGTGTGCGTCTGAAAGGTCATTAGGTACCTTTTTGTGGCTAATACATGAAATAATATATATATATATAATAAAAGTTATATCGGTCTTATAGAACCAATATAATGCACAAATTGAACTTGTCAGTTAAGAATCAATTATATTAATATATTTTACGGGAGTAATTTTTTGTTCTTATCCTATAAGCTACAAACATACTATATGCGTTCATTTAATTATTCTTTCTGATCCTAGTATACTAATAGCTCCGACGAATTTGCTGGTCATAAAAAAGAATTACATAAACAACAGTTTTTTTTTTTTACAATAAGGAAAATATTCTCACATACGTATAATTGGTTACAAATTTCAACACGGTAATTAAATAATTTATAATTAATTCAACTCATAAGAACCCAAATCAGAATCCCCGAGGGAGGGTTCATATGAATGCCCCTTACGATAACTGAAGACTACAAGGTTTAGTAAATAGGCCCATTTGTTTATGGGCTTAAAATGTATGGTTTAGTCCTCATTAAGGCCCGTTTCAGTTTGTGGGCTCAAAGGCCCACTAAAGTAATTCCTCTCTAACATTAATCCGACGTGGCAGCCAGACACCGACATGGATTTGATATCAAAGAGGTAAAGAGTGATTTGGAGTTGTGGGATGTTGGGGAAATCTTTTCGAGTTCTTCCTTGAGTGGAGACTAAGGGAATTGGTACTTGTGGACCAAGAAGCGCAAATATGCCCCTTTCCCGTTCATATTCTCTAAAAAAATGTTTTTTTTTATATCTATATACCATTATTTAATCATAGAAAATTGCGCAATGCCATTTTTTTAAATTATGTAGAATACTACATTAAATTTCTTTATAAAACATTTAACAAACTTTAATTCTAGTTTTTTAGAGTTTTTGATAGCCTAGATCACTGAAAAAGTAATAAATATTAGAAATCACATATCATAGAATAAATCAAGATTATAAATTACCACATCTATTTAATTACCTAGTATGGATGATGCGATCACCGGCGTTTGTATAGTGTGGAAACGGCACGCAGTTCGCCAAACGACGGAAAGTTGCAAGTTGGCGCTTTTACCAACTGAAAACTGACACGTGGCGGTTATCATCATTCCTTCGCCGAGACAGGCACACACACAACACGACGGACATGGATTTGTAGAGGACGATTCAAAGAATCAAAAGGTTGGGAAGCTGTCATCGTCTCCGAAAGATCCACGTGTTTCGGCGAGTTTCACATGGTGGATTCTGCAATCCGACAAGATATGCTTACAGTTTAATTGACCCGCGAGAGCTGTCCCTTTTGCCTTCTCCATCGTTGTAGGAAGGGAAGATCTAAAGACCCGATTCGGCGTCGGGTTTAAAGATCGATTTCTCTGCATTTGTGATTGCGCGCGCAATTTGTTCTCTGCTCCTCCTGATATTTCAAGTGATTGTCTCGAGTCCTGGTTCTTCGCGGGTAAAGCCTTATGCTTTCAGCAGTAAAAAAGTTCTCCCCTTTGTCTGTAATTTGCAATTGTAGTGGCGTTATCTTTGCCCTGTTTAGTCTCAGACGTGATAGTGATAGTTCCTCGCAAATTCAGTTTTATTTATTTTATTGTATTGTTGTATTTACGAAACTTCAGAAAAGGAGTCGCCAACTCTGGATTTCCATTTCTAGGTTCTGTAATGGTAAATGTCATCACTTTCATCTTCGGTTAGGGCTTTGTAAATGTCATCACTTTCATCTTCGGTTAGGGCTAAAGAGGATTTGTGTATGGCATGTATGCGTTGGCGGCTAAACTAAAATCTAAAGCATGTTTTAAGGAACTTTTTTTTTTCTCTCATTAGTGACTACCTCTGACGATTGTTGCCGGACAGAGATTTTTGTTGTTCAGTTCCTTACAAGCTGAACCATGAACATGAGACTTGAATGTTAATTGGTGTGGCTTTCAGAACATAAATGGGTGAGACCATCGTTAGCAAATCGTGTTCAAGCACCGAGAAGAATAAACGAAATGTGATCCCGAGTGTGTTTAATCCCGCGGTCTCTGGAATTCTGGGGTTATCTCAGAAGTTCCAGAGCGGTCTTCAGGTTGGCCTCCGACATCATTCCTAGGTTGTCAATTTCATACGTCTGTGAAGATTCTGGTATCTTCTCATGTTACTGAAAAGATCATTGCCTCTTTGTTGTAGTCCCAGTTGAAGAGATTGTCGGCTGATAAGCCGGGGATGAAGTTGATAGGCTCTTCATGGAGGAATGGTAAAGAATGTTTATCGAGTTCCATTGAAGTTGATCTGGAGAAGCAGTTACAACGCTGGAGAGAAAACCCTGCATGGACTGATCAGCCTCCAGCGATAAAGGTGAGCGACGGAACTGTGTAGTCTTCTTTGTAGCGTAGAGTCGATGGACTGGGTGAGTGAATCATGGAGTCGACGTGACACGATGATCATTGAACTGGGCGTGATCTCGTTTGACAAAACTAGATGATGTTAAGAGTTAAGACATGGTATTTTCTTGGGTGAAGGATGGCATACGAATCACAGAATTGATGTCACGACGGTCATTGAAAGGGGCATGATCCTGTTCGACAAGTCTAGATGATTTCTGCAAGTTTGTCGGAAGAACTGTATTTATTCGCAATTATTCATATGATTCTGCTAACATATGGGTATTGGCAGGTGAGTATACCGAAAGGCTCTCTTTGCAATCTCAGCGTGGATGTAAACGTCGGTTTGCCACCTGATGCAGTGTATAACATTGTGACTGACCCTGACAATAGAAGAGTCTTCAAGAACATCAAGGTATATAGATTTCATTTCGGGAAGAAAAAAAAACCCAAGTAATGTAATATCCAAGTTTGATTTGCTGAAAAGTTATAAATCACGTTTCAGGAAGTGATATCGAGGAAAGTATTGGTAGATGAAGGGACAAGGCAAGTAGTTGAGGTGGAACAAGCAGCTATATGGAGGTTTCTATGGTGGTCAGGGACAATCTCAGTCCATGTCTTGGTGGAACAAAACCGAGCAGATCACTCTGTAAGACCCCTACCCCTTACGAATCTTTTCGGGGAATTATGGAGAGTATGAGATATGATATTAAAGGAATGGGAACGCAGATGAAATTCAAGCAAGTGAAGACAGGGTTCATGAAGAGGTTCGAAGGGTGCTGGAGAGTGGAGCCATTGTTTGTGGACGAGCATATGTGTGAAGGAAAGGAGAGGCCGAGGACGGAAGATGAGTATGAGAGATGCAGCGGAGGGAGAGGGAGGATCGGATCAAAGCTGAAACTGGAGCAGCTCATTCAGCCTGCTATCGTTCCGCCCCCACCCATCTCTTGGTATCTCAGAGGAATCACTGCCAACACTACGGAGATGCTCATCCTAGACCTCTTGGCCGAGTCCTATACGATCCGAGCCGGAGACTCGGGTTCATCCGAGAGTAAGCCCGACGAGCCACAGCGACAGGTTCGGATGGGGTCCGAAGATCTCAAGGAGAGATGGGCTCAACACAGGAGAACCTCTAGGAGAAGGCGCAGGGATTTGTCAGTTCACTCAAGATGACGTATGCAAGTTCATCATACTAGCAATTTGTTATTTTTTTACGCGTATCAAGTGTTTGTCGACAGCCTATGGAATTTCCGAGTATATATATATATAACGAAGATAACGTGTTTTGCCAAAACCCATAAACTAACACGTACATTCATCAAAACCCGTTCTTAGAATTACAATATAGCAACAATGAAAAAGGGGCTGCCTACATACAAAGACACTTGCACAAAAAGCCACGCAATCGAAACAGCAACAGATGAAAGAAACAAAACAATTTAGATAGAATCGCCAGCCAACCTTCTTTCTCTCCCTCTCTCTCGTCACGCCTGGAAAAAAAAACTGCATCAGAACATTTGCAAGAAGGCAAAGCATAAAGTTCTTTTAAAAATACGTGTAGATGTTTTGCTTTGCCTTGTTCGCAATGTTGTTGGACAGCCAGTCCAGACCTTCGTATAGCCCCTCACCGGACGTGGCACATGTACTCTGGATGTACCTGAACATTGCAGAGACATGGAATCAATCAGCCGTTTCTTCAAAACTCCTATCGAATAAGAAATGCAGATAACATTTTAACAAAAGGGATTGAGGGGGGGTTCTTTATTTACCAGTGACGCTGGCGGAGGGAATGGAGGCCAAGCTTATCGGTGATTTCTGCGGCGTTCATAGCATTTGGAAGATCCTGCTTGTTGGCAAATACAAGAAGCACTGCATCACGCAGCTCATCCTGCAAAACCCCCTCGGATTAACAATTGTTGTCAAGGCTCAAAATAATTCTACAAATGTTGACATCCATATGCTGGAAAATCTTCTTTATATGCACAGACCTCATTCAGCATTCTGTGGAGTTCGTCCCTAGCCTCGACAACTCGGTCTCTGTCATTGCTGTCGACTACAAAGATAAGACCCTGTGTGTTCTGGAAGTAGTGTCTCCACAATGGACGAATCTGATGAAAAGGCACAGGATTAACGGCATGTCTATCAGATTATATAGAAAAAAGTTCCTCAAACCATTATACAAAACTACAAAATTTCACAGAGAACATGGAGAAAAGACGAGGTTTCTATAAAAATTCACTAACTGCAGCGAGGTTAATAGTATTGAAAAGTTGAATATCATAGATTCATAATACCTTGTCTTGACCCCCAACATCCCACACGGTGAAACTAATGTTCTTGTATTCCACAGTCTCAACGTTAAACCCTGTCAACAATGTTCAGTTAATCATTATGGCATATACGAGTCAAAAGATCTTTCTGTTCACAATTAAATGGTTTCAACAGTTAAACAATCATCACCAAAGATATGTCCAATACGATAACAATACACAACTGTAAGAAATTTCCATAAGCTAGCTACATGAGTATCAACTGTCAAACACGTGCACCTAGGCAATGGCGGAAGTAAAGCTTTTAACCGAGGAACACAATTATGGCCCAACTCTTACCAATAGTAGGAATGGTGGTCACAATCTCTCCAAGTTTGAGCTTGTACAAAATGGTGGTCTTACCAGCGGCATCAAGACCCACCATCAGAATTCGCATCTCCTTCTTGGCAAAAAGCCGACTAAAGAGTTTGGTGAAAGTCAGCCCCATCCTGCGTTACCTGGTGATCAAATGAGATGCAGGACAAAAGATCGTATCATTACCTCATTCGCGTGACACATCATACGATTACACATGAAAGCACTTGAAAATCGTTACAAAATACTGTATACCAAAAATCTTAAGTGTAGGACTCTTAATTATAAATGAATGCAACGCAACCAGACAGATCCAAACAGATGAGGGGGGATCGCCGGATTTTACGTACTCGTTAAACCATTACCCAGATCCGCCTAAAATTCAGAACGAATCAGAATCATTCCAGATGAAAACAAACGAATGCGGAGAGAATTTCCATAGATCCAAGACGTTTGAACGCGACAATCAGATCAAATCAAAGTCAACACCAGCAACATTGAAATACCAGCGCATTATCCAATCGTACGAAACATAAACTCTCGATGGAAGAAAAAAAAAGCCAATTCTTAACAATCAGATTGAGACGAAGCGAGAAATGCGTCCTAAGAATCCGACGGACACATCTTGCGAATGATGAGTTCCCGTCGAACCACAGATATCTAGGCAAACCAACGACCTTAATTGAGAACGCATGAAAACAGATCCAGATCTAAGCATACCTCTGAAGAAAGTCCCAGGGAGATCTTAGAGAGAGGAAGAGAGACCTCGCAACGACGAGCGAGAGAGCGAAATTCGAAAGAAAGGGAAGCTTCGCAGCAACGCTAAATGTGCGACCTCGAAATGGAAAGTGGGGCCGATTTTATAATGGCAGGGCCGCGAATTAACGAAAATGGCATTATAAAATGGAGTTACGGAAATACCCTTCGACCGAGTGCAAGGTACCCCATGGCAAAACCAATTAATCGATGCCGCGTCATTATATTGATGTTTCTTTGGTATTACTACTTCTCCCACATAAAAAAAATATATATTGTAGAATATTTGATTAAAAGATGAAACAATATATAAAAATCTTTCTTTTACTACATAACAATATGCTTCACGGTCTCGTTGTATTGCTTCATTCATAAGCTATAGTCAGATCTTAGACGTAAACAAATAAGACTATATATATAACATACGTTACAAGCCCTCACTAAAAAATACTCAAAACACGACGACCATAACAGCAGCAATCGCATCAGAGCTCGTCGTGTCCAGTCGGCTCCGACAGAACAGCTTCAATGGCGTCAGTCTGGTAATAATAGCCCTTGTCATCGTGAGAGTAGAGACAGTCGGCCGATGGATGTACGACTCCGTACCCAAACCCTTCGGCCGAGTTGCAGTAAGCTTCGACATGGCCGTCCTCTCGTTCCAGATTGACGTTGTTGAGGACTATGTGGCTGCATGGCACTGTGTCACTGCAAGCAAATTTGATCGCTTTCTCGCTCTTGGTGGTTCCTGTTACGTTCCTGTACATTACCTGACTGATATTTACCGCCGACGTCTGCACAATCAGAAGAAGAAGAAGAAGAGTCATGTATTAGTTTGGTTTCCTTCATTGATTCTGTTCCTTCTTGTTTTGAGTCAATGGCTCAGTAAAGAACCTGATTTTGGCAGGACGATGGAGAATCGCAGTAGAACTGATCGATGATGATGGGATTTGCGACATCTTGCATCTCTACATTCTCGTAACGCACTCCTTGAACGTAACCAGAACCGCCCTGATGCCAAACAAAAACAACAGGCCTCTCTCAAGATCGGAACACAAAGATTTAGAAAGGTCTGGTTCGATTCTTAGCAGATTCTGTGATACCTGCCATGTCTTGATCCTAAGGCCATTAGTTGTCTCCTTCAGGAAGGCAGTGTCCAACACTACTTTCGTCACAACGGCTGTTGAGTTATCCTTCCCGAGACTTCCAATGCTGCGAGGAACAAAATATTTTATCTCTAATTCTTTAAGTATTGTTCCAATGTAAAAGTTGGTACCTGATTCCATGCCCCGGTCCACAATAAATCCTCTTCATCTTGATTCCCGAGCTCCCGTTCACAATCGATATGCAATCATCTCCTATTTTTTTAAATCAAATTAGCATATTACCAAGCAGGTGAAAGATTACAATTGATGTTAACATCTAGTTTGTGAAAGAATAAAGTTAAGTGAAAAGATTGGGTAAAACCTGCGCCGATTTTACAGTCTTGGATGATGACATTGGTAGATGCAGTGACATGGATTCCATCAGTGTTGGGACTATCTCCTGGAGTCGAGACCATAACTTTAGAAATCCGCACTGAATTTGACCTTGCAATGATAAAATTCATCTGCTGGCTGTTCTGAATTGTCAGGCCTCTCACATTTATACCCGAACTTGAATCTATAGTTAATGCCTGCCGATAAAAAAAAAGAACCTTCGCTTTGATGAGACAATAA